TTTTGGTGGTTCTCTTTCATTTACTCACCTTTGCCGGAACCCCCTACCCCCCATTTATATATATATTGCTTTCTGGAATGTGATGCCACGTAGTCTTGTAGAAGTTTATCAAAGGTACAGAGATGGTGCCATCATTTTCAGGGCTGAAGAGGAAGGCATGGAAGCAAGCAGACTAAGCTCTACTCTCCTTCCTGCTTGCTCACCTTACTCTTCGACCTTGGAGGAGGAGAGCGGGATGTTCCTCTTAATCCTCACCACTGTCTGGTCAGCAAACCATACTCCTTACCCAGTTGCAAAGACAACATTCTGTTGAAGTAAATAAAAATAGAATGATACAAGACAAAAACAGACTCCGTGATTTTAGTCCACAAGCGCACTATACCGACAAGAATGAAAATGTGGTGTCAAGAAAGTAAGGATGGAAAGATTTTGGAGACATATGATGAGAAATTTGCAAAACCAGTAAATGAGCATGGCATTTGGGAAATCAGAACTGAACAAGAACTGAGGGTGAAGCATAATACCCCTGATCTGGTAGCAAATACTAATACAGAGAGACTGAAGTTGTTGGTGAATGTGATTAGATCAGAACAAACAGAAGTTTCTCTACTTTCAGGCTAAAAATTACCTTCTATTTATAAACCTACTCCTGCATAGTATTGAGGTTAAGGACGTGTGAAGCTTTATCTCCATGGCTCCATATACTTCCATGGCACCACATATAACTGCATGGGTAAGTTCAATTTACAACAGTAAAACACATGATGTTGATTAAAGTGTTATTACAAGGTGGTTCAAATATGACCGGGACTGATTTTTTTTAAACCAAAATTGCCAAATACTTACATGCACATGTCAGTCTTCAATGTACTCCCCTCTGGAGTGAACACATTTTTTCCAACATTCTGGAAGCATCCTGATGCCCTTTTCAAAGAAGTCTTGTGGTTGGCAGCGTATCCACTCCCAAACATTCTGGATGACGGCGTCGTTTTCCACAAACCGCATGCCTTGCAAGTCTGATTTAAGCCTTCCGAACAGGTAGAAATCACTTGGTGCCAAATTGGGACTTTACAGCGGATGTGTCAGAAGGTTCCATTTCAATTTCTGGAGGGTTTCCATTCTTGTTTTGGCCATATGGTGGCATGCATTGTCTTGAAGGAAGGCTACCCGCTTTAAACCTCTCTTCCACTTGGATCTGATCTTTTCCTTCATGTCTGCTGCCAGGAGGTCTGAGTAATAAGCTGCATTGTCTGTTCTGGCATCTGTCAGAAAGTCTACATGGATAACCCCTGCCAGTCCCAAAAGAACGTTGCCATCACTTTTCCTGCTGAACGGCTCCTGTGCGCTCTCTTGGGTTTGGCAGAACTGGTATAAAGCCACTCGCGTGATGATTGCTGGGACTCGGGAATGAAGTAGTGCACCCACTTTCATTGCTGGCCACTATAGATTTAAAAAATGCATCACCTTCGTCTTCAAACTGCTGTAGGAGAGGACTGGCAATTTGCATGCGCACCATTTTGTTCACGTATGTCAAAGTGCATGGTACCCACCGTGCATTCACCTTGCGATAGTGCAGGTGATATTTCACGATGTCTTCTACACTACCAACACTGATGGACAGCATTGCTCCAAGTTCCTTGATAGTTATGCGCCTATTCTCACGAATAAGTGCATCTGCACGATAAATGTTTGGCTTATTGACGGATGTTCACAGCTGATGATCATGCGGTTCATTCTCCACGCGCTCTCTGCCCTCTCTGAAGCACTTATACCACTCAAACAAACGGGTCTGTGAGAGACACTCTTCCCCATACTGTTGTTGGAGTCTGTGGTGAATTTCAATGGACAGGACGTTTTCTCCAATGAGGAATTTGATCACAATGCGTTGTTCCATGCTCCGCGGTACCTCCTCTATGCTCATCCCTCTAGAAACTCCCAGACAGGACTGAACAGGTTCTAACCCTAACAGGAGGGAGACTGGAGGTTATGGTTACAATCTCTAAAGGTCACACAGCTGCTGTGCATTGCGGCTTGTTTACAAAAAAATCAGTCCCTATCATATTTGAACCACCTAGTATTTACATTACTATATTAATGAATATAACTTCACAAAATATTAACACATATCAGGTACTTATATGATTAAAATATGACACCAGTTTCAGATGACAGAACGACACACTGGCTATCCAATTTGGTTCTACATTAATCTTTTAATGGATTACAGAAAGTACTTTTGTACCCTTCAATAAGGTTTGGGACAAATAATTTTACTTCATAAAATACCACTAATGAAAAAATGGATGAATATCTCCTCTTCTCTAGTGCCGAGCTCACAGATTGACCTTCTCCTTTCTTCTTGCACGGGGCTCACTGCAGACTGCTTTGTGTCGAGTTCCAACTCTTTCTTGCCAAATCTTCATTTTCAGTCCATTCATTGTCAGTGCAATCCTCCAGATGAATTTCTTCTCAGCAATTTGAGAAGTATTGCGCTTCCATTCAACAAAACTTTTGCAGATGGCTGAGGTTACCTTGTGAGAGCCTGTGTGACTTGCACTGTGTCAGGGAACATAGGGCACAGATGTCTGTGTTCATGGCGAGGTGCCCCAAGCTTGCCAATCATTCCTGAACTGCCAGAAGGTACAGTTCCATGCTTGCTGGGACTTGCTAGAATACGCACATTGACGGGGGTGGCCCTGGGATGTCCATCCCTGCAAAGTCACAGCAGAGTCATGGTGAGAAAACAGAAGCATCAGCAGCAAAGCAAAATAAATGTGAAGTTAAGAAATTTCCAAGTTTCATCATACAACTTACACATATTTTTTCCAAAATTTCGAAGAAAAAATTTGATGCATGATTTATGACAATGTCTACTGCAAAATATATCACCATATGTGCCATCTAATTTTAAAATGAAACATTTCAATTTAAATGCCTCAAGTATGATGGTTACAAATCTTTTGGGACATGGAGTTGTGCTAGTACAGGCAAAAGATCCGGATGCATAATTTCCATTTCCAATTCCTTCAGGATAAACAGCTTGCTGACTACCTGGCAAAGGCACTGCACTTTCATGGAATGACAGGGTAAGGCTTCAAAAGTAGGTGAAACAAGAACGAGTCCCTAAAGATTTGGAGTAGGTACTTATCTTCCAGAACATTCTTCCAACATGTGGCCCAGATTTCCTGTGTTCAGAATTCAAGAAGAGGAGAACATATTTCAGTGCAGATCATAATGAAAGAGGATTCAAGATTAATGGACAGAATTGGAGGTAAAAAATTGGACATCAATCTGCCAACTGTTCTTTTCAACTTACATAATCATCTTCGCATGAGGCTTGTTTCATGTCAAGGGTATCATTGATATGAGGAGGGCACTTACCCAGCTTCTGACGTTGTCAAGGATCACAAAACATAGGCTCATTAACCCGTGTTCAAAAAAAGACTTAGGCAGCCACTTAGCTCTTTGCTGGTCACACTCCCTTACTGAAAATGAAAACACCAAACTAGATAGAAATGAAGCTCCTTTCTATCCTGTAAAAGTTCATCCTGCCATTATAAATGAAACTTGACACTGTTGAGAACAACATAGTGTGATTTACTGACTGAGAATCTTCATGAAAGGCTGGGCTGGGCTGATCACTCCAGCACAGCTACTCAACTGCTAAGGGAGAAAATCAGAAGGTCACTTTATTCAGAACACATTTTGACCTACCAATTTTTGCCGCTATTATTACCAGAATAATGTCAAAACCATCAGTATGTCAAAATATGTTCTGAATAGAGAGATACAATAAGATACAATATAAGCAATCCAAAAGAGGCACAAGCCAGGAAAGAATATGAGTAAATCATTAAGGATTTCTGTCAGGAGGTAAGGGAAGGAGTGACAATTGAAAAATAGTGGAACAACTTGGAAACAGTTCTTAAAATTGCAGCAGAGGAAAGTATTGGGAAAGCTAAAAGGGACTTTAGGAATGGCTGGTTTGACCAGGAGTGTAAACAGGTGAGAGTGGGAAAGAATAGGAAATGCCAGAGTGCGCTTCAAAGGAAATCTACTAGAGCAGCAACAGAAGAATATCATATCCATTTTCTTTAGCCAAGGTTGTTTATCAAGAGAATCCGTCCAGGTCCAAGGCTTTGGGTTCATTTTCATATTATGATTATTTTTTACGGTGAGGAGTTGTTTCCCCACACCCAACCCCCAAACTGGAGGATCACCCCTTATCGGCTGTCCGTGACTGCTCATTCAATATATTCGCGGCTTCCCTCCAAAACTTTAGGGCGCCACCTCCATCCACAACCTGAGGATGCGCCATACCGTGGTGACAAGGGAGAATATTTGGACCAAAGAGAGATGTAGTGGAAGGAGGCTCGAGAAAAATTTACAATGAGGAGCTTTATAACTTGTACTCTTCTCCAAGTATAATTAGATTGATCAAGTCAAGGAGGATGAGGTGGGCAGGGCATATAGCACAAATGGGGGAGACAAGGAATGCGTATAGTATATTGGTGGGAAAGCCAGAAGGAAAGAGATCACTGGGAAGAACAAGGCGTAGGTAGGTGGACAATATTAAAATGGATCTTAGAGAGATAGTGTGGGATGGTACGGATTGAAGTGATCTGGCTCAGGATATGGACCAGTGGAGGGCTCTTGTGAACATGGTAATGAACCTTCAGGTTCCATAAAATGCTGGGAAATTCTTGAGTAGCTGCAGAATTTGCAGTTCCTCCTGAAGGGCTCAGCTCCGTGAGTGAGTGAGTGAGTGAGTGAGAGTGAGTGAGAGTGAGTGAGTGAGTGAGTGAGTGAGTGAGTGAGTGAGTGAGAGAAGAACATGGTAATGAACCTTCAGGTTCCATAAAATGCTGGGAAATTCTTGAGTAGCTGCAGAATTTGCAGTTCCTCCTGAAGGGCTCAGCTCCGTGAGTGAGTGAGTGAGTGAGTGAGAGAGAGTGAGAGTGAGTGAGTGAGTGAGTGAGTGAGTGAGTGAGTGAGTGAGTGAGTGAGTGAGAGAAGAATACTGTGATGTGAGAAGGAAAGGAAAAACGATTATTATGAAAAACAACTTAAATTGCTACTACAAGCAAATGAATACAATGAGGGATGGCTTCCACGCTAAACCATTGAGTTGCAGGATTACAGATGGTAACACTCTCTCAGATAAAGCTGATATCCTGAATAGATGGAAGGTGTATTTTCCAAATCTGTATGATATGACAGAGGATAAGTTGGAAATGCCGCCACAGTGGACAGTACCATCTACAGATGAAGTTGAAGAAATACCATTACCTACCATGCAAGAGGTGAATTTTACAGTTTTAATACATTAAGGACTGGCGATTTAAATATTTAAATCACCCTGGGGCCGCCATTATTAAACCTACTATCCTAACTTGTGCACTGTTCACTTTAAAAATTAATATAAAATCTCCTAATTAATTTTATGAAAAAAAAATTTTGGAGAACACTTCCTCATGCTCCTAGAAGTGCTTGAGGGTGAGATATTTCTGGCATCATTCCCCTTTGTGAAGTGCCATTACACAGAACTTGCAAATGTAGACATACTCCTTTTTATGTGAACTGTGCAAACACGGCATTGCCTAGAAGGATGCCTCCCCTTGGAATGTTCACTCTTCACAAATTTCACGAGGGTACGTTTCCACATATCACCCAAGAGTCGCCCTGGGGGGTCCACATGAGGCCAGCGTGGGGTGGGAGTTGATGGACCTGGTGGCATTAAGTCTGTGTCTGACTCTGGTTCTGCCGCCACCATCTACAAAAAAGGAAAAAAAAAGATCAAATAATGTGTGAAAACTATTGTGGTATTTCTTTGCTAAACACAGCATATAAAGTATTCTCAGTTGTACTATTTCAAAGACTACAACTCACTGTAGAGATAAGTACTGGAAATTATCAGTGTGGGTTTAGCCCTTGAAAGTCCATTTCAGACCATTTTCATTCAGTTAGACAATTACTGGAAAAAGTGAAAGAATATGGAGTTAACATGTACTAGATGTCTGTAGATCTTAAAGCTGCCTATGACAGCACTGATAGAGCTGGGCTCTTCAAGGCTATGGAGGAATTTCATGTCCCCAGAAAACTTACATGTGTACTGGATCCTATTCTCAAAACTGTAAGATGCAGAGTTAAAAATTTAATGGAATAACTGAATTTTCTGAGACTCACACAAGGATGTGCCTTGTCATGCCTTTTGTTTAATCTAGCCCCAGAGAATGTTGTAAGAGAGACCAGTCTGGATATAAGATACTCCATGAAACTACAGATATTAGCATATGCTGCTGATGTTATTTTTGGTAGATATGAAAGAATAGTCAAAGAAGCACACACAAAGGTCAAGAAAGCAGCATTACAAATGGGGTTTAACCATTAATGAAGATAAAACTAAATTTATGGAAGTTAGCAGCAATAAAACCAAAGAGAAGCATAACATAATAGACAACAAAAAGTAAGAGAATATCAATATCTTGAGTCCACAGTCCGCTTCCTACTGTGACGTGGCGGGCAACAGGTAACAGCAAACGAAATAAAAGATGGCTGAGCAGCAAGCGAGAGAGAGAGTGTGTGATCAACAGTTCTCAAGGCAGCAGCCTACGAGTGGAGTTGAAATAACAGCCGTCGCGGAAAGAAGTACCGGACGTGTGTGTAACTGAGAATTGGTTGGAAGTGTATGATACAGTAGCACTTATATAGCTCCCATACTGTGAAACGTGTAGTCTACTGAAGACAGAGTGAACTGATTTGCAAATAGGGTTATAAATTGTGAAACCCCGCAACAGTGTTAACAGATTATTGCGATTAGGGTTATAAAGTGTGAAACCCCGCAACATTGTTATAATTAATTGTAGCCGAGATTTGTAGGTTGTTAAATAAACCAATTAACGATCTCTACGGCGTATTCAGTAATGAAACACGTTACATTTGGTGTCAGAAGTGGGATACGAACTTACACACGTGACCAACGGGATTTGGACTTACACACGTGACCAACGAGATTCGAACTCAAGACACGTGACAATTTAGTGTCAGAATTGTTTTACGAACTTGAACACGCCTCAACGAAGAGTTGAATTTACAAGTGCATCTACTATTATACTCCCATAATAAATATTGAAGAAGAGTTTGTGGAACGCCTGCTGGCCGCCCATGAAGATTTCTTGGCAAAAGTAGAAGCCGCCATGAGACGGAACTGGGGGAATGATAGCAACAAGAAGTTGGTGGCCAAAAATGACATAAAGACAACAGCCTACCAAGAGATGGAGGCACATCTGGAAGAAGGAAAGCCGGCCCCAGCGGACATGAAACCTGAGGCAGAACAACAAGAAGAGGTCCCTGTAGACGACGTCACAGTGACACCATTCAGTGAACCTGAAGATGAATTGACGCCGATTACCCAAAAGCAGACGGTGGCCTGCCAAGTGGACATGACACCTGCGGCGGCACAACAAGAAGAGTTCCCCATTGCAATACCGGTCAGAGTGAAGATGGCCTGCCGAGAAATGAAGGCCCATCCAGAAGAAGAAGAGCCGGCCTCAGTGAACAAGAAACCTGAGGCGGTGAAACAACGAGAGGTACCCGTACAAGACGCTGAAGTAATGCCAGTTGGAGAACCGAAGAAGAAAAGGCGCAGAGACCGAAATCGACGAAATATAAAGAATTTGACACGGGAAAACTGTGGACCCCGGATGAAGTTGGCTGCCACCTGTAGGAAGATATCCCATCGCGCGACAATGGCATGATGCTGGAGAAATGACTTCAAGAAGGAAACTCCCCAGGGAACCTTCGGATGCCAGCGGAAAGAAGGACCGCCAGCCGAGCAGGGACGGCAGAAGAATTGGACCAGAAACCATTTTATGAGAGGAACCCAGAAAGGATGGTCTCCCAGATGGAAAAAACTGGCGCGTCCAGAAGGCACCAAGGAAACAAAGATTCGAGACTTCGAGGACCAGCTACGGCTTGGAAGCAAGTGGGAATGTAATAAGACCCACAGGAGGACAAAGGGATTGGAAATCGCAAAGCGAATTTTCACACCTGTCCCATTACAGAGAAGTAAAATCTGGACACTGTGGAGGGGTCGACGCCTCCAAAACAAAAAAAGACGCAGGGCACAGAAGAGGAGCTGGTAAAATAGAAGAACTGGCCTCCCCAGAGAGTGAATGTGTCATAGAATGAAAGTGATGGATAAATGGGACACAACTAGATCTTCTGGCGAGCTGAAAGGAAACCGCTTCAGACGAGTTGGTCTTAAGAGGGGAGCTGTTGTAATGGCCGGATGATAGTCGCTGCGAGAAGTAGCCGAAACAGGAGATGCTGCAGGAACGGCCTCCAAAGATAAGCAACGGGGATACACCGTTAGGCTATTCGGGACGAACAGCCTTAAGGAGGGAGCAGTGTGACATGTTGCACAACGGAGGACCCCTACCTCGCCAGCGGCACGTGGCGGTAACGTAGCCCCCCCC